CAAAAATCCAGATTTTATTTTCTTGATAAGATGATCTTAAAGTTTTTATAAATAACAAATGTCGAGAAAAATATAATGGTCTAATGCTTCTAACAAATCTTGAAGCTTCAGAATCTTATAAATTTTCCCATAATCCCATTTTTAATATTTCTATTAGTATGGACTACGGAGTGTTAAAATATTTCCATACTCCGAGATCTCCGACAATTTTCCCTTGATCTCTTGAACAAATTATTAATTCAATCTCTCACTCTTTACAATTCGATCTAAGGACTGTTCAGTTTATAAAACGGACAACAATAAATGTCGATAGCTTTTTCAGTGTATTCGAATTGTTTCTTCAGGACATAAATAGATTATTTTCCAATCAAAATTATGCAATGTTTAAATTAATGATAATCAAACGCGTAACTTCAGAATCAGCAATCAAACCAAGGTACAAAAAAAAAAGATTTACAAAATACCCTAAAAACAATATTTTGTTTTCTCGCGTAATCAAACAAGGTTTTTTGTTTTTTTTGTCCATGGGATCCGCTTCACACACTTAACCCGTTAGGTAAAAAATCTCGTTTTTTACACTTGTTAGATCACTCAATTAAAACACAATGTGATAAAAAGTGTATTGACAGATTGAATAGTCAGAACTATTTTTTAAGTATTTCAATTAAAATTTAATGGTATCTGTCACTTGATAGCTTAAATTTACATTAATAGGTAGAATCCGAATTCAGAATATATACACGCAAACCAAAAATCTATTACAATGAATGTTAGTTCCGTTTCCTATCATCCTCTGTTCATGAACATCGCAACGAATGTTAGAAATTGACCATGCAGGCGATGTAATGGTTTTTTGTCTTTTTTTATTTCGTGTTCCATCTACGGTTTCGACTATACCAGTAAGCTTGTAGAACGACGTACATTGTAGAATATTGTAGAACGACGCACACACTTAACTCGAATCTCTCCAGCAGAAAAAGCATACGAAGTCGAGCATGCGAGAAAATGAGCGCTTCATGTTTGCTTTTAGGCTGACCATATTCAGAAGCATGGAGAGAGCAGTGGAGCAAGCACAGGTCTGATAGTCGCAACGTCCGTGGTTCGAGTCCAGTCGGCTACCATTTTTCTATTTTTTTCGACATAATTAATTTCACTCACTAATACAACTCCACATTTTTCGGTCTCCAATTTTCTTACATCGGTCCGCAGCTAGGTATATCGCATCCTCGGTTCATGCGGTCTCCACTTACATCCTCTGATGATGAATCCCACATAATTGTAAGCGAATCTTACATCCACCGGTTGGGTGTAGAAATATTGTTAAAATCCTGAAATCGTTGAACGAAAAATGACACTGAAAATTGAAAACACTTTGTTCTACGAATTTCATAATTATTTTCGTTGGTGAATATCATTTTTTTTTTTGAAGTTGAGCTGAAATAAATAATGTCTGGCTTGACACAATTGATAAATTTATCCTGGTGATCAAGTTATATTGACATGGGTATACAAATTTCAGTTTAGAGCACATGTGATTCAAAAAATTTCAAAAATTACATACTATCTAATTATTATTTTTCTCATGTTGCTTATAAGTAGAGTTTAAAACCTGCCCAAGAATGTATTAAGCTAAGTTGTCAAATAATAAATTTGTGGCTGAAAGTGTGTTCCCGTTTTATAAACTGAACAGTCCTTAATGACCCATTCGGATCAATAGCGTACGGTCTGACCATACAAATATTGGTTGACCAAAAGTTAACTTGATAGGGAAAAAGGCTCTAATGTTGGTCTATGGATCTAAGATTGGGCCCATCGTTAAAAATCTGTTATTTATCAATTTTATCTAGATGAACGCGTCATTAGGATGGTACCAATAGATATTTTTAATAGCTATTGAAAATTTAGTCGATTGCTGAATTTATGTATGGGCCCATATTAGAAGCATTTAGGCCGAAATTACATCCATTTCCCCTACTTGATATATTTCATACTTCACTTTGAGCATCACTTCTAGTTGACTTACACGCTTGACTGAAAAATTCCTAATTATTATTTGCTGACCTATAATTGATGGTTAACTGTTTGTTAAATCGATGGATTATTTTTTAATATATCAAGTGAGCAATTTCGTTGAATTGTACTTTCAACTTAAAAAAAAATCATTTTGTTTTGCTTTTGAAGACAATTTACCTACAAATATCATCGCAAATTTGCACTTGAACCCGTTTAAACAAAATCATTGAGTACTATTTTTGCTGTATATTATAAACCGGAATTTGTTTATGATTTGAACCGGGAAAAAAACCGGGAATTTGACGAGCGGTTCGAAACATAAATTAACCATACCATAGGAACACATTTTTTCACCAGAATTTCATAATAAACCATTTAACCAGAGTGATTCTTTACCAAATGAATATCTCGCTCTATTTGCTGCGTAATTTTCTTCAGTTTCTCGTCTTATTGTTTGTAGAATTTAATCACTCAGCAATATTTAAAATTGATGTTTGTCGTTTCAATTTCAGATGTAAAGTGCATCAGCTTTACAAGAAAATATAGAAGATGCTGTACTTTGGAAACACATATTTGTAAAAACCGAAACTGAACTATTTTTTCTTACTTTGACTATATGTTTTTAGTATTACTTCTACGTGAAGTCAACGATTTACATAGTTGAAGATGCTAATTTCAAATAACAGACTGTAGTGGTAATTTTTATACGATAGATGGAGTAGATGAATCTACTGAATCTACTCCATCTATCGTATAAAAATTACCACTACAGTCTGTTATTTGAAATTAGCATCTTCAACTATGTATTTTTTCTTGGTTTCTTTATTCAAAATTCTCATGATATGAATTCCAGAATTAACTTGGAATTCTGCTCTGAATCACCTGCTTTTGAAATTATCCAGAAAACACTCCGCATAATAATAACCGTTGAATTCTTTTTGGAATTTCCTTGAAACCCCTTCTAAGAATTTGATTGGTATCCTTCTTAGAATTCCCCTAAACCTATTCGGATACTTTGATTCCTTTGAAATTTCAGCAATTTTTTTTTTGCAATTCATTTTGATGGAGCTCGGTGATGAATTTTTCGCACTAGAGTTGAAATTATCCGCAAAAACCCATAGAATTCTGTTTTTGTTGAATTCTCATCATAATTATCTTGGAATTCTTCTTAAAATTCATCTGTCACTTTTCTCACGATTCCCACACAAATCTCCTCAGAATCACGTAGGAAATGTAATTAAATTTTTTTTTCACAACGCTTTTTGAAATCTTCTAAAATTCCCTTAGAATTTAATTTAGAACTTGCATTCTTCTCCTCAGAAATCCCTCCAAATTCATCTAACGATTTTTGAGGACTTCATGTCATAATAAATTCTGAAATTCTGATCAGAACTTCTTCGAAAATTTTGTGGGAATCTTCCTCAATATTTGTTTGTATTCAACACTTTGAATACTTTTAAATTTTACTAAAAATTCTAGATGTCCGCAAGGTTCTATAGATTGTTCTGTAATTTATTATAACTCTTCAAATGCTTCCAAGTCTCAGAGCTTTGACAATTATGACTCCACGACCCATAAGTATGATTTTTTTTTTCAAATCTGTGATGTTGATTTTTTTTTCTAAATCGTACATTTTTATTACCTAATCTTGCATCACAAATTACACAAATTTAAAAGCCCCAGAATCTTGGGAATCTTCAGAAATCAATTTTTTTATCGTGTCAGTAAATTCCTTGCAGTAAATAACCTTTCAGTAATATTCTTCAAGTATGGGTCTATTGGACGTGAGTATTAAATTTCATGAATCATGTTTAGTTTCACGTTGAGCGAGTTCCAACGTCAGTAGATTTTACATATTTTTTCGTGTTTAAATATATACACCAGCGCGAGTACTGAAAAGTTAATATTTATGTTAGTATAGACAACGGAGTGAAGACAAATTTTCTTTATCCGATATCCCTAACAATGTCCTTTTATTCTCATTTGTATCACGTTATTTTTTTCTTTTTTTTTAAATTAAATCTCTTATTCTTCACAATTCTGTCTATTCATCCAGATAGCTGTAGGGAATGAAGGTACTAGATACAATTTATTAGCAACCTCTGGAAACACTTATTTTGATGAGAGTTGTGAATGGAGAGAATCGTCATTGAAATATCAAGTCAGTTATTGGTCTATTCTTGGTTCGTACGGATGGTTACTCTCGAAGCATCCAGAAAGGCATTCTAAAATGCGTCGTCGAATCAGGACAATGGCGCAGCGAGTATTTCTGGTAGCCAGGGCTGGCCAAAGAGGCAGAAGTATTCGTCGAACAGTGTGATACGTGTTTCCTCTTATCGCGAAAAAATCCTCCCATTCCACTTTCTTGTAGAACTCTCCCCCAAGGTCCTTGGGAGATTCTACAAATAGATTTTTTCACTGACAATGAGTTTGGGTATGGCGAATTCTTGGTAGTGGTGGACACCTATTCACGATACTTGCATGTCATCGAAATGAAAACAATTGATGCCGAAGCCGCAAATATGGCACTGAATCGGATTTTCGAGAACTGGGGATACCCGTAAGCTGTCCAGAGCGACAATGGTCCGCCATTTCAGAGTGAAAGGTTTATCAAGACATGGGAGGAAAAAGGTGTTAAGATATGGAAATCAATTCCTCTGTACGGCCAGTCTTATGATGCTGTCGAAAGACAGAATAAAGGGATAAAAGACGCATTGGCTGCAGCAAAAATCGAGAAAGTTAACTGGAGCTCGGCGTTGGACAGATAAGTTCATATGCACAACAAGGTCAGACCATTGTCCCGACTGGGAGTTACCCCTTTCGAGTTATTAATCGGATGGAAATACCGAGGTACGTTCCCACATCTCTGGGAGACTCGTGGAATACTAGATCGCAATGATATACGAGAAAAAGATGCTCTTTCTAAACAATAAAAGAGGAGCAAAAGCATCCAACATTGTGGTTGGTGATACTGTCCTAATATGCAGGTCAAAGCGATTGAAGAGCGATCCAACGATGGAACAGAAAAGAATACAGTGATAGCCCGGGAAGGAGCCGTGGTGTTCAGATTTCTCGAAACGTACAGGATGCCAAAAAGGTTCCGGAACTCGACAGTGCACCAACAGAACCAACCGATACCGAAGGAGGTTCCACTGCTGAATTTACCGTAGATGAAGAATCTAGTATTCGGGGACAATCACTTCAGTTCAAGACGATACACCGAGGAAATCAAGAAGAAAATCAAAGAAAGAAGAAAATCAAAGAAAGAAGAAAATCAAAGAAGAAGAAACCATCTAAATTTAAGGATATGCTGTTATACACTACAGGGTGCGTGACGAATTTTTGCAGTAAATGGCATATTTGAGAAAAAATACACCAGTTAGTTATTCTAGCAATGAATTTTGTGCGATTTATTTTCTTTCGCAACATACGGAAGTTGTTAGTAAATTTATTAAAAAAAATTGCCTTCCCTTTCGACGACTGTAGTTAGACGCTTCCGGAAACTGCAGTATGCACGTTTTAAAATGTTTCGATCCATAGATGTCATCACTGCCTTGATTTTAGCTTTTAGCGACTTAAGTGTGGTGTGAGGGGTTCTATTGGTATCCCGTTGGACGAAGCCCTATACAAAATAATCCAATGGATTGATATCGGGACTGCTTGGGAGCCACATTTCTTCCTCCCAAATTTACGAAATATTTTCCGTAAGCCATTTCTGTGCTTTATTAGCAGTATGAGCAGGTGCTCCGTCTTATCATTTTCCCAAGCCTTTTTAATATTATACACTGTTCTTTCAGACACATTTACCGACCGAATTATTTCTTTCATGCATACTCCGGCGCGCAACAAAGCGACAACGGCTGACAGATTGCTCTCTTGTTTCGACATCTTTACGTTTACTCAACATTGTTTGTTTAAATCTTACACCTAACAGTATAAGCTATCCAGTGCTGCCAAATATATCTAAATCATGATGCACAAGCATGAGAAATTACTATTTGAAATTTACTGCAAAAATTCGTCGCGCACCTTGTATTTTCGAATAGCATTGGAGAGTACAAGTTCAATTAATAACAAATAAATGAACACATATATAAAAATAGTCATACTAATATTAATGCGTCAACCACAGAGTATAGGTAGGGAAGAATGTAGGGAATGAAAGTACTAGATACAACTTATTAGAAACCTCTGGCAACACTCCTTTTGAGGAGAGTTGTGAATGGAGAGAATCGTCATGGAAATATCAAGTCAGTTATTGAATACTGACTCACAGTTCAGCTTTAAACAATATTTTCTGTAATTTTGCTTTTATTTTTTCAACTATAAATAACATTTTACACATTACAACATCTTTTTGATTAGAATAGATTGAGTATATGTTTAACAACAACCGAATTTTGGGCCAAATGAGCAACAGGATCGAGGAGTTAACGTTTCGCAATTCCGGAATCTGAAGACTGTTTCGAATAATGGGTAAACGGACGAATGATTTACGAAATCCACCCTTCCCGTGACACTTATGAGGGATCGTAGAGTTCTCTGCATCTCTCTCAAGTAAGTGTCGGACTAAAATTCCTCTCCCATCCCCACCAGATGCAACGGATGAAGGTGGTTCTTCTTCTTAACAACAGTTTGGAGCTCGTACCACGTACGACATTGTGCAACTGGCTTATGCCATGCTATGCTTTTATTTTTTCCACAAATAACCTTCAAAAATGTACAGTTGGCCGCGTTTTTAAAAATGCGATCCATTTCGTTTTTAATTGAATATTAACAACCGGGAAATTTTTAAGATTTGAACCGGGAAAAACCCGTCAATTTCAAAATGAAAATTCACTGGCCACCCTGAGTTGGCACTGGGTAGGCACTGTACCTGGATTTTTTGGAAGATTTCTGAATAATCAGGGAATATCAGAAGATTTTGCTTTCTTCATTGAACCGACAGCCAGACTAAAGTATCGGATCCCCATTCATTAAATTGTAAATCTCCACTAACATCGAGACGACCGCGAGTATTCGGTTCAATTTCTTAAAATCTAGATTTAGAACATTAATTTTGTGTAACGCAAATGATAACTTGGCTCTGTAAAAATATTTCTATTGAGCCTTTACAAATAAATGAATTAAACAAAAAAGAACAGAGTTGGTTGGAAATGCTAACATGAAGCTTTAGTGTGATGATTTATTAGCTAGAGAATGATCTTTAGAAGAGGGTAGGTGGATAGTTCCGTTAGAGTACGGCAGTATGAAAATTGAATAGAAGTTGAAAATGAGCGAAGGGCCTACCCTCTTCTAAAGATCATTCTCTAGCTAATAAATCATCACACTAAAGCTTCATGTTAGCATTTCCAACCAACTCTGAAAATCGTTAACTTCGCGTATGAAGTAACATAAAAAACACTTTGAATGTAACAACTCAAGGCGGGAGTAGCCGTCAACAATGCTGATGATGGTTCAGCACGCAACAACCACCCTACTGCTTTCTCTCTGAGATGATCACGTTGGTCATGACGAGAGGAGCAACACAATAGTTGGGTAAAGAAGAACTGCATTATAACACACCATCGACTGGAAATGCTCTCCCAACGTGGGGCTTTAGGTAGTGATGAAAACGTCGCTAGAACTATTCCACAGCCGCAGTCAGTTTATGAGCAACAAGAGGGACGCACATTTTTGCCTGTGGACTTGGAGACATACTTCAAGTTCCCGCGTACATCGTACGGGCTAGGCAAAAATGTGCGTCTATCTTGTAAACTGTCGCTTTAATGGCCCTTCGCTCATTTTCAACTTCTATTCAATTTTCATACTGCCGTACTCTAACGGAACTATCCACCTACCCTCTTCTAAAGATCATTCTCTAGCTAATAAATCATCACACTAAAGCTTCATGTTAGCATTTCCAACCAACTCTGAAAATCGTTAACTTCGCGTATGAAGTAACATAAAAAACACTTTGAATGCAAAAAAGAACGGAAATAGGCGATTCCGACGAAGTAGAAGTGGCTTTAGAACATTCCTCCCAGATTTAGACTTGTGCATCTTGACTCCTAGCTAGAAACGGATCGACAGTACGTGTCTTCTATTGAACAGTGAACTAAAAATTTGTTGCCCAGCCAAATAACCCGGGCCTGGTGACCTTTTTGGCCGGGTGCCTTCTGTGTCCTATTAAATATAAATAGAATTACCTTTAGCAGAAGATTCTGCCTTCTTGGTCCGTGTGGTCCCGTCTTCGGGTTTCCTTTATCTTTCGACAAATAAATACATGTGTATCCGATTCGATCGATGTGGATGATGACAAGAAACGAACGAACGAAACAACGGAAGGGTTCCTTCAACTTTCTACATTTCGCTTATCGGGACGGTAAGGAATCGGGTGAAAACGAGAGTGTCAAGAAATAGGATATGAATTATAAATCTCTTTTATGGCGAGAGGTCTTTGCTCTGGTTCCTTTCCTGTGGGGGTTGCAACCCGAAGGTTCGGGGAAACAAGATGGATTGGTTAATCCAACCTGCTGAGAAGTTTTATTAGGTTGTTAGTAGAGCCTGTCCACAAGGCTAGCTACTTGCGGTGCGGTCTGCGATGTCTATGATTTTTATTGGTAGATCGTTACCAATCTATCATTGATTCTTTAATTGGATCCCCACGCAATTAATCGACTACTCCCTGAATAGGTGAATAAGTAATGTCGAGTCTCTCTGTCTGACGTGCTGGAAGTTCACCTTTAAAAGTTTGTTTGTGTACCGACCTTCGGTAGTCGCTGCTGTCAAGATAGAGGGATGGATGGAAAAGCATACCTTCGGGTGCTTCGTTAAAATTTTCTCTTCTCGGCTTTGTGTGTGTGTTTTGATTTTCGGTGGCAATGTAAACATGGAAGGTGATGAAGCGGTTGCTTGTTAGGGCGGAAATAGTCATGTTTTCATAACTTGAAAAGTTTTTTTCGCTTTATTGTAGAATGGCCTCGAGCAGTCTGATGATGGTCATGGAATATTAGACTTTGTTTGGTTGATAAACTTTTTGAGTTGGATACCCAAATACCAAGGGAAGTTGTAATTCGCTAAATTGATCACAGTTGAGTGTTGCTGACAACACAGCATAATATTATTTGCAATGGATGGTACATTTTTGATAGACTCAGTCAATTGTAAACGTTTCTTTGCCTATGCAGTCTTAATCAAGCACATTTAATGAATGAACCCATGTTGATCAATTCGATTAGTCTGCCATCTGAACTGGCAATTTCAGATTCTGCAGGTGTGAATTTGACTTCAAATCAGGTCATAAATATTGAAAAAAAAAAATCGACGCACGTTCACCAAAGCATCCGATGTCACCACGATGCCATTTCGATCAATATTGGTTTCTCTTCTATCGAGGACTTTCCTTCCAATTTCAGCGGCGTTTGTTGCTGATGGCTTTTTTTCCTCTCTTCGTCTTTATTAAGGATAATATCCTGCGATATTTACATTTGTGTACACACTTGTGTGCCTATCATCAACCTCATCCCCTTCTTCCAATCGAGTTCCACCCAAACATTTTCGCCATAAACGTTGCATGCTCATCTCATCATGGATGGAAAGGAAGAATAGCAGGAGCTGCTCCTCACATCACTCTCCATCATCTTGCAAAAAGTATAAGCCACCGAACCACCAGGTCCGAAATGGAAACGACCTGTTTGTATTCCTTTGCTGCTTCTTCGTTTTCTATACATTTTTTTATGCGCTTGTAAATAGAATGAAAAAGTCATTTAGAAACCATTTGAGTTCAAGTGCTCTTTACTTTCAACCGCCGTCGCCGACGTCGCAACAGTCTTCCGTTTTTTCCCTACAGCTAGCCCTCCGAACTTGGCTTGAGTTGCAATCGCTTCCATCATCACAGTTTCACAGACCAGCCAATGTGATGCTGGGCAGGATCGACGACGACGACACACTTGTACCTACGTGCGGTGTTCCAATTCTTTCGGCCCTAGCTCAATCTACCGAACGCATCATAGTAGTAGTCGAAAGCAGGAAAAATCTCACAACCTGCAACTTGATACCAACCTCATTCACTCGCAATTCTTCATGCTTGGGAAATTTAAATATTGGCTTTTAAATGATGAATTCAAGTGGATGAATCCGCTCCATGCCCTTCCCACCCGGCCCAGAAGAATCCAACTCATTCGAAGCA